CGTCATGCTCTCACCTCGACAGATTGACTCCCCACTACATTGAACTTTGAAGGCGTGTCCATCTCCAAATGAGTGCGGGTCGACATCTTGAAATCCTGTCTGAGTGATCGGGTTGACAGACATGATGCTCGAATCAAAATTCTTCAGGGGACTGGGCCAGTAGGCATGATGTTACAATCAAGAATCACAAGGATGAGAAGGTCGGGTTTCTTTGGGGACCAAGGCACGTGCTCTGAAAGGGATTTTTTGGAGCGATGCGACATGGCTCTCTGGCTGGTGGCTGAGAGAACAAGGACCAGTGAAGCCAGCATGGATCTGCTGCACAGTCAATAAGTATTTGCGACGCTTGGGAAGGGACACGCAAGGCAAAATTCCCAGAAGAGAAAGCATCAACTTGGTGATAGTCTTTGACCAGGCGCTCTTGGACGTGGGGCAGCTTGGAAAAGTGTCTCAAACTTGAGCAAGATTATCAAGAACCGGATGCGGCGGTCACTAACCTTGCCAGCATTACAACGACAAACAGCATTGCGCACCCAGTTCACCTAGTGGGCTGGCCATTCCTGCATCATCTGCGAGTCACGCTTGGTGCATTTGTGGCAGAGGACACAGGGCAAGATCCCCGCATCGAGTTCTTTTGGGTGCAAGATCTGACTGGTGGTGGTGCGGACAGCATCAGCGCAACGCCAACCATGCTCCTCCAAATAAAGGTGGTGCATCTTTGCTGGGATATTCTGGTTTCCCTTGGTTGGGATGCGCTCGAGTGCGTAAGCATGCCAGAGGCAAAAGGCAAGGGGTCAGATTTGCTTTGTCGTCGCTTTCCTGATGCCTCACGGCTTGTCCAATCCTGCATCAGAGAGCACATCTATGACCCCTTTCCTGATGGCCACTGTGGGTTGCCGAGCTTTGGCCCACAAGGTGATGGGGTCAGCAGAGCACTGGCTGATAGTGGGTGCAAATGCATTGATAGGAGGTGCGCTTGCATTCACAATTGCTGACTGGTGCGCACGCAGGTACCATGCCGCCTGTGCAAGAAAGCCGACAAGCATCCAGCAATCTGGACCACCTTGCTCCAAGCGCAGTCCAGCAAGAAGGCAGCTGCTGGAATCTGCTTGTCCAGCACCACCTGCATGCTGGATGACAAGCGAGACCTATGCTGCTCTTGCAGCATCAGCATTTGGTCGCATCGTTGTGATGGTGGCGCTTCTGGATACGGGGACGCATGCATGCATTATGCTGCACCTACTTTCTGGTGGTGTTGACTGATTTTCACCTTGAGCATGTGATGCTCATCTAGGACTCCCATCAGCACATTTCTTGCAGGATGAGCACAGCAAGCGCCTTCTCAGCCGAGCTCAAGTTAGCAGCCTCATCACAGGGTCGCAAGTCGCTCCGGACAAGATCAACAGCCAAGCAATGCAGCTTGCAAAGCTTCATTTGAAGCTGCTGTAGTGCGCATAGATATGCCGGAGTGCTCTCAAGCGAGGCTTGGGGGCGATGGTCGCATGCGGTCCGCAGATGCGGTGCTACGGCTGCGGTGCTATAGATGTGCTGCTACGGATACACTTGTGTCTCTACCACACGCAAATGAATTGCTCCACCTTTTAGTGCACTTCAAAGCTACCGGGACCTTCTCTACTCTTATACTAGTTGATATATCTATGCTAAACCCGACTATAGCGCTTCCTAGTCTAGGTGCTCTAGGTCCTATAACTTATCAAGGTTCTAACTCACCGTGCTGTGTGTGTCTTGCATGCGATGCTCTATGCCACCCAGTCACGAACGCTTGCTCTGTTGCAGACGCTTGCTCTCTCCGCGCTCCTGTCGGAGCAAACGTGCCCAGTCCACACGCGCTTTGACTTTCACGTGTACGTTCTTGCGTATAGTACTAACACCATTGTTGGAGTGGGAATCCTGGGAGAATTGTGGCTGTGCTGCTAAAGCCGTGTACTGGGGAGTCCGGGCCAGACTGCCGCGACACGGCTTCGTCTAGGTGTCTGTTTGTAGCCCCTTCGTGTTGTTCCGACGTGCGTCTGCCAATGCATTGCCCTTCAGGCACGAATGCTATGCTCGATCGCCTTCTCAAAAAATGGCACTTACAGCTGCAATCGACTATCCTTCAAGCAATTTTCCTCGGCTGTTGCTCCGTACGATACACGTTTGCGCTGTACACTGCGCAGTCACCAAAAGTGCAGGGCATGGTAAAGAGCGCAAGTACTCCGCTATCAACGCCTCGCGTGCAACGTTCGCAACAGATCGATATGCTTACAGATCGCGTGAGACTGCCGCAAGCACGATTGCGAACATTGCGAAGAGACTGCAGGTCTGTGGAGGACTGTTTCTCCACCACGGATGCGATGATCACTCTCGAAGATCTGCAGCATGGACATCTCAAATTGAAGTACAAGACTGCCTTTTGCGTCTTTCTTCGCTGCAGCCTCTGGCCATGGCGACTCTTGCCGTCTGGCCCGCCGCGGGCTCATTCGTCTTTGCTCTTTGCCAGCGAGGCGCTCCCTTCTACGGGGGCGCACAAGTGTCCCCGTCTTGCCCCCAAACAGCCCCTCCAATCCGCATCGAGCGTCCCGCAAGTCTGCTCATATCCCTCGCACCGCTTCAAGATGCAGCAACTCTCGTCCGCCTGTCACGCACTTTCATCGTGCGACTTTTTTGCTCACCGCGCCGTCGACGTGCGCAATCGCGCTTTGTGACAGGATGGGAGCCGATCGCGTCGCTGAGCGCGCAGACGCGATTCCCGTCACACACGCACTTCCACGGCGAGGGCCGACGTGAAGCGACATTCGTGGTTGTCCAGAGACTTGCGAGGCGCTGGCGACTGGCGACATCAGGCCAAAATCGTTTTTGTAGTCAGTTGATGTATTCAATCTTGACTCGAGGGAGTAGTCACGCATATAGATGTGTAGCTAGCGCACGCACGCACGCACGCACGCACGCACGCACGCATGCGACACGAGCACTTCATCGCATTGAAAGCGCTGCTAGCGGTGGGATAAAGAGCGACGGTGCTACATGATCAAGCCTCGACGATCAGCCAGTAAGGCGCTCCCGCAGCGTCTCGCGCTTGCAACATTCGGGCCTGCTGGCGACCGCCATCAAAGAGCGCAGACGCTTGACCTCGCGTCGTGACATCTCTCCTTGCTGGCCCTCGCGTCTGCGGGGGCGCCTTCTCCCAAGGCAGAGCCTCAAATTTCTCTCGATACTACCATGCAGCCAGTGATCGTCGTCGTCAGAATGTACATGCGCGAAAGAACAGCGGTGACTGAGCGCCCACTCACCTCCTTGGCCGACATGTCCTTCTCGCTCTTCAAGCTGACGTGGCCGGGCGCGTGGCCTGGTTGACCTCCATCTTGCGTGGCTTTGAATCCGGTACCCGGCAATTCTGTAAGTAGGCCGTTCAGTTCAAGTTCGCAGACAAGATGGGAGAATTTCAAATGGGAAAGCGAAGTGAGAGGATGGTGAGTCTGAGTCAGCTGAGCTGCACATCTCTGTCAAGGACGGCGCGATGCAAGCAAGACTTACTGTCAGTGTCCAGCTGCCACTGGTTCTTTGGCGGGATATTTTGGCGATCTCTGTTGCAGCTGATTCCACAATCCAACTCCGGTTTGTCAGCCGGAGCTTGAGCTGGGATATTTTTGCCCGGATCCACTTTGGTCTGGTCGTTTTTTGGGATGTTTGGGAATACATCTTTAGTGCGAACTCCCTGGCCGGTCATAGGTTTCTCGGTATTGCCGTTACGATAGATAGTGATGGGCGCAGCCAAAGTGGTGGTGGCGAGTGTCGCGGCGAGGAGTAGGAGCGCAAAGCTGAGCTTCATGTTGATGCGGCGGTGAGCGTCAAACCTCCACTTGTTGAGCGATTTGCGAGACTTGAAGAAGGAAAAAGAAAAAAAAGAAAAGAAAAGAAAAATAAAACGAAACAAAAAGCGATTTGGGTAAATGTCCGACGTCTGACCAGCAGAAACGAAGGGACCAAAGAAGAAAGAAAGAAGGAAAAAAAACAAAAGCGAAGGCAAGATTGTTACGAAGAGATTGAGGTGCGGAGAGGAGTTGTCGATGTGCTGCAAGATGGCCGCCCTCTTTATACCCTTTGGTCGAGGCGTGACGAGTCGTGAGTGTAGGATGCATCTCAGGCATGTAGCCGCGCTTCCTAATCACGAATGTGACCTCACACGCCTCAAATTAAGCCTCTGCCTCTTCCAGCGCTCCAGCTCAGCTCGAGGCAGGGGTTGTGGGACAGAGACGCTTTTGCACTGCACCGCACCGCACTGCACCGCACCGCACCGCACCGCGCCATCCTTTCCTTTTGCGCGCGTGCAAGACGCATGCTTGACGATTCACATTCAAGATTGCCAACGCCCACGCATGCATGCATGCATGCAGCAACGTCCAAACAGTCAGAGTCAACCATGGGCGCCCATGAAGCCTTGCTAAAATCGCGCCAGCAAGACTTGGCCGCCACAAGCGCGTATGGCGAGCATGATGGCGGGCATGGCGAACATGATGCGCATATGATGCTGTATATGGCGATGCTGTATATGGCAATAATGGCCCCTGGGCATCATGCAAATCTTCCCCAAATGTCCGACATCTTGGTGCATCTTTTGCATCGGGGCGCAGCGTAGGGCGCGCAGCACCCAAGATTGCTCGACTTTCGCGCTAAGCATCAGGCATGCCAGCCAGCAGTCACAGTGGAGCTGAGCTGCGCGGCCAGCGATGCTGCTGCTGTGGCCGCGCGTCCACGAGGGATATCAGCAATCGTGGAGTGATTGCATGCATCATGCATCATGCGCATGGGCGCACACCAAGCGAGACTTGGCATCCATGCATGCATGAACGCGGCGCGATGCTCACCGTGAGCGCGCACGCACGCACGCACGCGCGCATGCACCAGCACAGCCTCGTCGATGTGGATCAGAAATCGAAATGCTGAGTGCTCGCGCGCGCGCGCGGTGGGGCGCATCCACATTCACGTGATTTGTGATTGATTGCATGGCTGACACTCACTCTTGACTCTTGACTCTTGACTCTTGACTCGATCTTGATTGCGACTCACACTCAGACTCTTGACTCAAACGGCAGCAAAGTTTGCATCAGAGCAATCACTGACAGTTTGCATCAGAGCAATCACAGACGCGCGCATGAAATCACTATCAAATCCTAGCTTCCATCGACGCTTACAACAGACGCCCACGACGCCCTTCCATGCATGCATGCATGCATGCATGCATCTGTGGTAGCCGCCTCTCGCTTAGCAGCGCACGCACCGCGCGATGCGCACCCGCCGAGAAGCAGAGCGATGGATGCGCATCATCTCACTCACACTCACGACTCACGACTCCCAGAGGCACGCACTCACGACTGACTTGCTTGCAAGGCAGCGGGCCCACATCCCTCTCCTCCCCACCATCACCGCCCGACACACGCCTGCGCATCTTGCTTGACCACCACATCTTCACCACATCGACATCGACATCGACATCGACATCACCTGCTCAGTTGACTTGCACCTCCATCAGCGCGCACCGCCGCCCTTTCCGCCCATCGCAACACTCCTTGCCCATCAAGCAGCACACGCGACACTTCCACTCGCACAACTCAGCACACGCCAGACACAGCATCGCAAGCATCGCAAGCATCGCAAGCATGAGTGCAATTGCGCTCCCTGAGCGACTCGCCTTTGAGGACACGTCGGTGGACAGCGCCACCTTTGTGCGAGTGACGTACGACGTGGTGGCCACCTATACGCAAGCGCGTGGAGAGGTGTGCTCCCGCCTATCAGACGAGGCGGACGAGCTTCATGGTGGCGCATTTCCCGACGGCAGTCCGCGCGAGGAAGAGCATTCGGATGCGCTAAACGACACCATGGATGGCATCAACGCCTTTAGCCTCATCACCACACCTCAAGCGCACGCCGAGTACAAGCAGCGCTACGATGCTCTGCGCAACATAGGCAGCGCCAAGGACGAGGCGGACTCCCTCAGGGCTTGCTTGGGGCTGACCCTTTTGAAACATGGCTTCTATCGCAACACCCTCAGCGATGGTCTGCCACTCTACAAGGCCAGCAAGCAGGGCGAGCTCAGCACCGAGGAGGAAGCAGCTACGCGTCTCATGTGAGTCAAGTCTCTCTGTGCGCGGTGCAGTGCGCTGCCGTCGCTCTGGTTCGGCGTCTCGCATTGGCTCTGCGGGCTGAGTCATCTGCTGCTTCTTGGACCCCTCGCCAGCGAATACCTTTTGGTCCCGTTGCCCCTCGCACAAGAGCGTGTGGATGCCATCTTGCCTGGTCAAGCTTGATTCGCGCGCATACACGCAGTCATCATGGTGTGCCAACACCCTCAGGACCTGTTCTTGCTCCGCGCGCATCTCCAAACAGAGTCCGGCTCGATGCAGTACGCGACTCGGCATGCAAGCAGCAAGATCGTTTCATGGATGGCATTGCGAGACGAGGGGTGGGGTGACGTGGAGCGGGCCAAAGGCGGAGAATCCTTTCTTGCGGAGTCAAGTGTATCTGTCAAGGCTCGAAATGGCAGGCGGATCTACACGAGGAAGCAGAGGGGCAACCAATGCGACGAGAATGGAGCGGGGGCGGGACGTGCCGGTGACTTGGAAACACTGGTGGCGCAGGCATGTGCAATCCTATCCATCCATCCATCCATCCATTCATCAGTAGCGCGTCATTGGTTCTGCGAGCTGGTTACCGTGAGGGCTGTTCGCTGCCATTGGCTCGGGATGCCAGGCATTGTTGGCGACGGCGTTGGGTGCTGGCGCGTTGCCAAACAGGGGATTGTTGGCCGGGCTCATGGGGCGCGCAGCGAGGCTTTGCTGAGACATGGGACGATTGTGCGCTGCCATGAGAGGACTGGTGGGTGGCGAAGTGAAGAATGCGCTATTGTTGTTATTGTTGTTGTTGTTCGTTCTGCCAGCCGTGCTTGCGGTGTACTGCGATGGCGGACGACGGTTGTCGGTGGCCCAACCTCCGTTGGAGGCCAAAGTGGGCACATGAGCAGAATGGCCCGATGCGCTCTCCATCTTTTCCAAATCGGGCGTGCCAACTGCTTGCGCTCCGCTCATGGCCGCCGGCACGAACGCGCCGCCTGCTGTGTTGCCTCCTCCTCCTCCGACATTTGCACCGCTCGCTTGGGCTTCTTGCTTCAGCTTGCGACAACGCACGATCAGCCAGATCACCGCGCCGAGCAGCAGCAGGACAGCACCGACGATGCCACCAGCGACTGCTCCGATCGGAACGCCGTGCGTCTCTTGCTCGACTGGCTGCACAGGTTGACAGGATGACGGATCAGCCAGAAGATCATACAATGAGCAATGCCAGGCTGTATCGCTACTTACTAGGTCGGTAGGATACGACGTATCGGTGCTGGTCGATCTGGAGGTGGGTGTCAATGCGGACGAGCTGGAAATCGTTGTGGGACGGGGAGTCGGCGTCGCGTCGCAGCCAGTAACGGTGCGGGTGCCGTACACGATGAGCCTGGTGCCGTCAGCGGCAGGAAGAAAGTTGTTTTGGTAGTCGATCAATCCAGCTCCAATCTGCCATGAAGTGCCGCTTGGGCGATCGCTATCATCGACGTAGGTCGTAAAGGTGTACCAAACACCGTACGACTTGACATCTCCATTGGCGCTGACGGTAAAGTCGGAGTGCAGAGAGTCGAAGTCCGAGTCGCTCGAAGCGGCGTAGAAGCGCAGGGTGGAAGCTTGCACGTATTCTTCCCGCGAGTCTGCAAGTCGTCAAGAGCGGGGGCCGTGCATGGGATGTCAGTGGAGTGGTCATTGTAACCACGCTCGACGCTTTGCCCCAACTTACCGAGGCGGATGCTCCAGTTGATGGCTGTGCAGCTGGCAGAGTTGATGTTGATGGTCAAGGCGTTGACTTGAGAGGCAGCCAAGGCGAGAGCCGAAGCGAGGAGGACAGCAAAGCGCATGGTGAGGTGAGTTTCGAGGGAGAGGATGGGGGAAGCGATGTTGAGGCGAAGCGGAAGAGAGGCGTGCTGATGTCGATGGGGAGAGATGGTCATTTGGAGTGTCGCAAGCCTTGCTTAAGTACTTTTGCAGGTGTCGAAACAGAAGCGTCGATGAGTCCGACATGGCGTTGCAAGAGGCGTCGCTGGCGAAGCGTAAAGGAGCTTTCGAAGAGCGTTGCAGACATGCCACGCTCGGAGACGACCGTTCACGCTCTCTCCTCATCACAGTCGGCATCACCAAAGTCCGACGTGCTCTCTCGTCTGGATACGAGGTCCGCGAGGCGTCACCCTAGGATGTCGGTCTAGATTGTCAAGGCGGTCAGCGAGAAGCCCAAACAGAGTCTGGCCCTCTCATTACGGGGAGGTTGCGATGTGTGGAACAGGTCCTCTGGACATCCCATACCGCGTGACCGGCAACCACGCACGGTGGGCCTCGCTGAGCCTGTGTGCGTGTGCGCTTCGATTAGCGCGCCGCCGCACAATGTCGCGTTACGCGTGCCACAGCAGCCCTCGCGCGGCCCTCTTTTCTTGGCCTGTTGGCCGCCGCGCGCGTGGGCTCCCGTCGGAACTGGTTCCATTTTCGCGTTCCTGCATGCAGCGGAGCGTTTGCATCATGCACGACGGCGGAACCGGTCCTCACGGGGGTCGATCGTGAATGTGAACGGATCGGACGATCAAGCAAAGAGATATGGCATGCAATCACGCTCGACTCACCATTCGCACTTGCACACAGCCACCCTTTGACGCTCAGCCACCTTTTTTTGGCTCTTCGACCTTCCTTTGGCGCGTTCAAGCCACGCATTTGCACGATGCTGCAAAGCCACACGTTTAGCCTCACTTGCCCAACGACTCGAGTCCCTCTGACAACACTCCACTGCACTGTGCCATGCTCCATCGATGCTGGGTGGAAACAGGGCGTGTCTCTGCCCTCGCTAGCACGCCAAGTAGCCGGCACATGACGTTCCGCGAGCGCAGTCTATCGAGTTGCTTTTGGTCGCTTTCGGAACGCGCAACGCGCCGCGGACCTTTCATCGTTTCTCGTCAACCTCGTCATTGCCCACCATCACTTCAAGACGAGACAATCGATGCTGATCATCTGGTCAAAAACATCGTCAGCAGACTCCCATCGCAAGATCACTCGAAAGCAAGATGGGCAAAGTAGCGGGTGAGTGCGAGCGCAAGTGGCTACGTAGGCTGCGCTGACAAGAGGTAGCGCACTCTCGAGCAGGATGGGTGCCTTTGAGCGGCGAATGGAAGTCAAAGTACAGAGCGCGCATTCTAGAGTACAGCAATGATCATCTGCTTGAAAAGGAATTGCGGTTCCGCAAAGAAATCGTGAGTCGTCGTGGGTGGCTGCCGTGACCGCAGATGTAGCCTTTGCCTAACATTGCACGCGCTGGAGGCCACAGCAACAAGTCGCGCTTTCTGCTGGTTTCTGGACCGGCAGCCACATCGTTCACTGTGTTGCGAGCATGGGCGCGACGGTGCCTGGAGCGGTGATCCACATCTCTTGGCAGCTCTACAGGGCCATCGAAGCGAATTTAAAGTCGAGACGCTTCTCAAAGAGTGAGCGAGCAAGTGATTGTGAGGACATTGTCGTGCAGCCCCTAATCACACGGCTACCGGCACAGGATATACCGTCGAGGCTTGCAGCCTCGCAAGCAGACGGGAAAAGATGTGCTCGAGACGGCCGGCTGGGCCGCTCTGTCGATTGCGCTCAGCAGCTCTTTGGACGCTCTGTCCACTCAATTCTTCTCAGACTCTGCGACGCACAGCGTGACTCAAGCGGCAGGCAACGGGGCCACCTCTGTGATGATGGGTCAAGAAGTGAGCAATGTTTGGGCAGCCTTGCATGGGATTGGGCTAGATGACATTGCTGACGCCGCAACTCGTCGCGCCAGAGCGTCGCCGGCGCCACCGCAGACACTTGGCATCAAGTTGCCGCCCATCCAGGTTCGCTCATTGCCGAGGCTCTGTATACGGGCGGAAGCAAAGCGCTTCCTGTTGCCTTTGAAGAGCTTGCTTGGTTGGCATCTACCAATTCGAGCAGGATCATGGCGACTGCAGGCGCGGGGACCGCACTGCTCGCTGCATCGGCGGCAATCAAGCCTCACAGCTGGTGGACTTCTGTCAAGCCAGCGCACCCTCATACGGATGTAGGGCAAGCCAGCGCAGTGTCCGAGTTCAGCGTGACTGCGTGGTGTACGCGCTGCAGAAATTCGTTCGAGTACACTCCGAGCACGTGCAGCGATGCTCACCTAGTGAGTGAGCAGGAGTCGGCGCCGTAGACGCACTTTTTGACCATTCTTGGCCTACACAGTGCACCGCGTGCCAGATCGCAGCGCTCAGAGAGGCGCACGACGAAAGAAAGGTGGAGCGAAAGATGCAAAAGGAGACGCAAGCGCAAGCGCACGACCTTCAAGCCATGCACCTCGGGCGCTTCTGCGATAGCTGCTTGGGCTGCATTTGCGGTACTCGCTACAGCTGTGACACATGTCCGGACTTTGACCTCGTGAGTGTGAGTAAGAGTACTGCACGATTTGCCATTACTTACTGCCCCACATTGTCCTCTCAGTGCGAAGCATGCTACACCGGCATCAGGCATCCACACGACTTTATCTCGTACCGTCCCGCATCTGACGTACAAGCGGATGAGCTCTGTCACACTGAATGGAAGCTCTCGCTCACAGAGCACGAAGCTTACTGCGACTGCTGCGGCGAAGACATCTTGGGCATCAGGCTGCAATGCGTGGATTGCAAGCGAGTGGACAGAATCTTCGACCTCTGCGACCAGTGCTTCTCAGAGCCGCCTCTCGACTTTTCTCATCCCAAAGATCACGCATTCGCCACTGTACGCTTTGCATCCTAGCACCGCCCCGTCGAATCTGATGTTGTGCAGTGCGCCTTGCACGCGAACATGTGTGCTGGCTTGCCGCGCCGCGCCGCGCCGCGCTCCGCATCGCATCGCGTCTGTGCATTGACCACGCCGCTCGAGCCAGGATCGTTCTCCTTGTGTGCTCGACTTGACGGCTTGCTTTCCGTCGCGTGCCTCCTCAGTCAAGCAGCGGTAGGGTCTGCCACCAAGATGTAGGGTAGTGCACTAAGCGCGCCCAGCGCTCACCCTCAGACCGGTCGCAACATCGATACTCGTGACTCTCAAGGACCGTGTCGTGCTGCTGCTGCTGCTGCTGCTGCTGCTGCTGCTGCCACTGCTGCTGCGCTGTCGCGTGCGCGGCGCGAAGGGTACGAAGAAATCACACACGACTCGTGACTCTTGAGCGAGGCCTTGGGACGGACGTGTCCCCAAACGCGCCACGGGGAGAGGTGCGTGCATGCTGCAGCGGCACCGCACAGCTCGCTGAACGCGCAGCATGATGAGCCTGCCGCGCGCGCTCGCGCGCCACGAAAAGCTCCTCGAACCTTCCCCGCTGGAAGTGGTCCCTCAGACCGGTCCCTCTCCCGCCAGCACATTTGTAATCTTCCTTTGCGAGTCTGGACCCACAGCAAGGCAATGCCAGCCCACTATAGCGCTCCTGAGCAATACATCAGTGGAAGAGCGAGCTGGACTGCTTACATTCACAAGATTCGGAATCGCGACAAGCCACAGTGGGAACTGAAGGGCTAACATTTTGACTGTCCTTCCGCCCCGCTTTCCCGCTTGCGAGGCGTTGCGGATCACCAAAGCATCCAGAGTTGGCATTCATATCTTTGACGATCAGCCGCGCGCTAAAAGGCAAGTCGGGGAGGTATTGAGCGACACCGGGCCAAGGGCGGTACACGGTCGCAAAAGTCCAGGCCTTTCCCTTGCGTTGCGTGAGATGAACAAGTCCCGAGGCTTGAAATGCTGCACTCGACGCTTACGCGCAGAAACGCTTGCGAGCCTTGGAGACTCGAGACGCAGCTATAAGTACCGCCACTGAGCTCCAAGTATCGCTTCATTGAGAATTCATCCACCTTTACCTATTCGTGCGCCCACCCTGCCTTCTTCCACCCCTTGCATCGCGAAACAACATGGCTTCACCTAACTCCCACCAACTCGTCTCTTCTGGAGCAGAGTCGGACATTCTTCAGCTCAAGAAGCGAGGTGATGTGCCCGCTGCTCGCAGAGAGAGGATGGGAGTGCTGAGCTCAGGCAGCGCTTCCTCGGCCCACTTGAAAGTGCGCTCTCCAGCTGTTGACGCTTCTCAAGTTACGCCTCTCGTCCAGAAACAAGCTCACGGCGGTGAAGTTGCTCATCTCGAGAAGCGCCAAAGCCTTGGCCAGCCCTTCACGGTTACGCTCGCTGGCACTGCGTATGAAGGCACCTTCACCACTGAGGGTCAGCTTGTAGCTACGCAGGCCCTTGTGAGCGGGAACCGCTGTTCCCACTTCCACGACCTTGAGTGTGCCGACAGAGACTGCCGACCCGGGTTACACAAGTCTCTGTACCGACTATCCCAGAGCTTCGATTTGCGAATGGTCTCGAGGAGCAAACCCCACTGCAGGCAAAAACGATGGCGGCTTTACCCCAAACAACTCAACAGAAGCACCTGCCAACATTGGGGGCGTCGCTAACACAAACTCATCATCGGCAAGTCCATTTCCTGCTAGCAGTGATGGTTCGTCCTCCGGAAATGCAATACTGCCCGGCCCGGCAAAACCAGAGGGGTCTTCTGGCACCAACTCAAATAACGGCGGCAAGTCCAACACTGGCGCCACTGTAGGCGCAGCCGTCGGCTGTCTCCTCGGAGGTTTGCTCATCGGCGCCCTCTTCGCATTGTGGTTCCTCCGCCGTCGCCACAGAAATCGTGTTGCTGCGATGCAGCGAGCACACGAGAGCGACCTGGCCAGATACTCGGACAAGGGTACTGAAGGCATGACCGTCTTGCCATACAAGTCGGAGCGTCCAAACAATAAGGCACTAGAGACTGCACGCCAGCGCATCAAGACGCTCGAAGCTGAACGAAACGCGGCCAGCGCCTTTGGAGATACGCTGGACAAGCTGAGCGAGCGCGAGCTCGTCGACAAGCTGGGCAGCGTCAATCGACGACTCGAACAGACAGCAATGGCGATCTCGAGGGCTGCTGACCACGGCAACGACGTTACAGCTTCGCGCCTTCAGAGCAGCGGTAGCCTGCCAAAGAGCGTCCCTAGCTTTGCAAGAGCTGCACTCAGCTCGATCGTCGCCAACAACAAGACGGCAAGTCTTGACAATGTGCTGAAGCACGTCGTCAATGCTGTCCTCGTCGAGCAGCTTTGCCAGCCCTTGTGAGTTCATTCTGTTTTGCGCTCGCCCCGCCGCCGCCGCCACGACTGACACGTCGCTTCGCTCACAGCTGCTTCGTTGGCAAAGCCTCGGAGAATGATTCTTTCGCAAGCCTGGAAGTCAGCGTTCTTCGCCAATTCGACCAGGCGCGCGCCGCTCGTTGGAGAGTCATGGCACACGCTGGTCTTCGCGAGGCTAGCGGTGATCCTCAAGGCCGTGCAGCTGTGCGAAACACGGTTCAACAAGCCATCAGCGCGCTCACCGACGTCCTGGTCTGGTCTGGGGCCGAGAGCAGCCGTTCCGCAGCGAGCGCAAAAGCCAACAAGGAGCTTCCCAGACTCGAAGAGGCGGTCAAGATGCTGATCGCGCTCGTCATTGAGCTGAAGGAGAAAATGTCCAGCGCCAACTTTGCGATCACCAGCGCTAGTGGCATCGCAAGCACCTTCGTCCTTACCGTCGCTCTTGGGCTGCAATCCACCGTCGCTACAGCTACGCAGCCAAAGATTCTCCTCCCCGCTGTTTCTGCTTGAATGTCACCGCTCCGCTTCGTTTACGACCACGCGTCTGTCTGCCTCGCTGCCTTGCCTCAGTGCCGCGCCCCGTGTCGAGTACTTTTCGCTGTCAATATATGCACTTGACCTTATTCCTGCAAAAGAATTCTGGTGCCGGCCACATTCAACATGGCGTCTCGGATGTCATGTGATGACCGCCGCCTCTTCGCCTAGCGCCGCTGACCATTTCGACTCGACTCGTGACGGGGTAATGCGCAGCCGACGCTCTGGGTCAAGTCGCACGAAAGAGCTCTCACCGAGTCGCTGGACGTGCTCGCCAATCGCGAATGGCCTTGAATGCTCGATAGCAAAAGTCTAGCGCGCCTCCTTGTGCATGATTCGTGATTGTGATTCACGATTCAGCTGCTCTTGTCGACGCACCTCGCCCACGCACCACGCACCACGCAGCAGCGAGCGCGGTGCGCGCACCGTTCACCCGCGCGAGCGGGATGCAACGCGCGGACCCGTTCTGCGCGCGAGGGACCGGTTCCACCGGGCTGCGCATGTGGCGGAAAGAGTCTGGAACTTTGAGGGGCACGCCCAGGCGCGGAGGAACAGGTGCCAGAGGGAGCGGGCAGCACTGTGGCTTTGGAGCAGAAGATTCTGATAGAGAGAAAAGCAGCCCGGTCTGGCGGTGCTGATGGAGCTGCTGAGCGATGGGCGACACGATGATCACAGCTTGCGCGGGGAAGCGCTTCGAGGCGCGTCGTCCATCCAGACCGCCGCGCGCGCGGTTGCTAGCGGACAGAACCATTTATCGTGGTGCAGCAACCCCGAGAGAGCGAGCACTGAGCGTATAATCCTTCATATAGCCTGCTGCAAACGTTCGCATGGCCGAGCAAATGTGTTCTGCCTCCAGCATCTCGGCCTGTCTCTTCGCCCTCGCAACATCCACGCCCACCATGGTCAACTTTTTCAAGCGTTCCAACAAGCCGCAAGCTCCGCCTTCACCCGTTCAGAAACCCATCCTGCACGCCCGCGACTCGGGCTTCTCGGAAAGCGGCGCTTGGAGTCAACCTCAGACCATGCCATTCTCGATGCAGGCAGAAGCTTGTGCGGCGCCAATGCCTCCCCTTGGCGGAGGTCACGCTCTCGATCCGACGCGCGACGAGCACACGAAAGCGCGCCGCCGCGGAAAAGACTGGCTACCGTACCGCGGCCACAGCAAGAGGCTCGTCATCGCCGTGGATTTGGGCACGACGTACTCTGGCGCATCCTACTGCATCCTCACCCCCGGCAAGACGCCCGAGATTGCAGAAGTGACGGCTTTCTCTGGACAGGCGAATGGAGCTTCAAAAGTGCCCACCAAGGTCGGCTACAGCGTCGAAGGCGTGCCTTGCTTCTTTGGCGCCGAGTGCTCCTTTGCGCCCAATGCCATGCAGCTTGCCAATGCAGGTGGACAGGTGGCGCGCTGGTTCAAGCTGCATCTCAAGCCCGCGCATCTCTCCTTGTCGGTCGCGCAAGATGATGCGTCCAACCCTCTGCTCGCTCCCATCCCGTTCGGACTGAAGCCACAAAAGGTGCTCGCCGACTTCCTACACTACATGGTGCGCTGCGTCGGCGAGCACATCAAGACCCGACACGCCAATGCCATGGAGCTCATGTGCGAGCTTGCGCAATCCACCAGCTACGTCATCACCATTCCAAACGGATGGGAAGCGGCTCAGCAAGCCATTCTCAGGCGCTGCTGCGTCGATGCGGGTCTGGTCGCTGCAGAGAGCGCAGAGGCTGTCAAATTTGTCTCTGAAGCTGAAGCGTCCATCCACTTTTGTTCGCAGTCTGCCGCATCGAGCGCTTGGATGGACAAGGTGGGCCAGCAAGTCCTCGTCTGCGATGCTGGCGGTGGTACGGTGGACATTTCGACGTACGAGGTCACCGCTACAGCTCCTTGCCTGCTGGTCAAGGAGATTGCGAGGTCCGACTGTCTCATGGCCGGCAGCACCGTCATTGATCGTCGAGCTGCCGAGCTTCTGCGTCAGAAGCTGGCTGGCACGCCTTGGGCCGAGCCGGCGCAACTGTTGCAGCTGCAACTGAAGTTCTGCTCCAGCGTCAAGGAGCTCTTCAACAATCCTTTGCAGAGCATGCTTCTCGAGGTGGGATCTTTCAGGGACAATGAGCCGGAATTGGGCATCAAGAATGGTCTCTTGGAGCTGACTGGCGAAGAGATGGCCGCCTTGTTCGAGCCGTGCATTGAAGCGACGTGCAAGAGCATCATGGACAAGGCTCAAAAAACCAACAGGCGTCGCGGTCCGCTGACAGTCGCCATGGTAGGCGGCTTCTCCGAGAGCGCCTACTTTAGATCCGAGCTGCAAAATCGATTGGGCGGCTTGGTGCGCATGACGAAGCCGGATGGAGCATTGTGCAAAGCAGTCGCTTCTGGTGCAGTGGCTTGGTCGTTGGATGGCATGGTGTCTACGCGAGTTGCGAGAATGTCGCTGGGCATTCGATGCAACGCTCTCTTTCGACCTGAAAAGCCAGGTCACGTGCAAAGGCAGCACTTGAGCTTTGCAGGTCAAGATGGCCGCTGGAAATTGCCCGGCGTGTTCGCCCCCATCATCAAGAAGGGAGAGAGCGCATCCAGTACCGCAGAGCACATTGAGCCATTCAACTTGACGTGGCCTATCGGTGCGCCGCCGATGAAGGAGGTCGTCTTGTTCGTGCATCGAGATGAGGATGGAGATGATGATGAGCAGCACATTCCCGAGTTCGTCGAAGAGGAAGGATTGTGAGTGCTGCGCTACATCGCGTCATTACTCTCTGTGCTGACACGCAGCAACCCCCGCAGCGAGGAGCTGTGCCGCTTCGAGATTGACCTGTCTCACTTTGCCATGCGCATGCCGCTGCCCGTCAAGACGTTGCCTACAGGCCAGCGCTACGTAGAAGCCAAGATTCAGCTGGCCATGCAGCTCAACGGCACCGAGATCACCGCCCAGACCATCTTTGCGCACGGCGGACAGACTTACAGAAGCCCAGCCATGGTTCACGCCAACAAATGCTTGATTACGCAGTAGTAGTGATCCTATCTCGTCTTGCACGTGATGCGTTCTGCTCCCCTCGTCACGTCCCTCTTTGTCTCTTGACCCGTTCTCGCTCGCGGCAATCGTGAATCCAATTGATGCTGCTTACTTCTCCCTCTGGTCAGTGTACGTACGACTCGCGTGTCTGAATTTGAATGCAATCTGAATCGTGAAGAGCGTAATGCTTGCGTCAGCACGAGCACGGCTCACGCGCTCTGCTCTGGATGCTTGCTTCGCGATCGGCTTGAAGAAATGCACGCATTCACAATTGTGATTCACTTGGAAACTCCACTTTTGAGCGCGTGCAGCCGTGCAATCACGTGGTGCAGCAGCTCAATACCGATCGAGACGCGAGATTGAAGGTTTGATTGAAATTTGAATCAAGGTTTGAAAAACAAGGCAAAGGCGAACGCGCTAAGCGCTACGCTCTGCAGCTCAGCCAGCCAGTCAGTCAATTAGTCGGCGGCGCGTGCTCGCGCGGCGATCGAGCTCGGCCCCGCGCACAAGTCTGCAGCGCGTGTGCAGATCAGAGGGAGCTGCATGCTGGCCTGGCCCGAGACGCGCGCGTTTGGTGGCATACATACATACGCGCGCACTTCAAAGGAACCGGTCCCTCTTTTGCTTCCCGACCATCACGCCACAGTGGACGAAGCAGCTGGTGCAGACAGGCAAGCAGACAGGCAAGCAGGCAAGCAGGCAGGCAGGCAGGCAGGCATGCAAGAGCAGTTAGAATCAGAATCGCGCATAATCTGGACCGCGAATGCAAGCAGTGGAGTGGAAGAGCGGGAGAGCGGGAGAGGGACAGGTCAAGCAGACAGCAGGGCCCCGCGGGGAAAAGAGTGAGCTGGCTGACTTGAGTGCGCGCGCGCGCGCGTGGAGCGAGGCAGAGATGAGACTCACGACTGATTGCAAGACGCAACGCAACGCAACGCAACGCAACGCAACGCAACGCAAGCAACAAGGCTGGAGGGACGTGTTCTGCTCCGCTGCATCCTTCTTGCCATGTGTGCGTGCGACTTTTGCGGCAACAGCCACACCATGGAGCAAGAGTCTGGGCCTGCATTCGTGATTCTTGCAAAGCGCAGGACGATTGCCTCGCGCGCGGTCATGGAAGCGCTCAGAGTCAAGATTACGCACCGAGCAGCTGTTATCCAGCCGACACTTTGCGCGCGCGCGCGCGCGCTGACAATCACCGCACTCGTGTCGAGCTGTCTGTTGCCTCGCCGCCGTCTTTGCACCGCGTCTACGCATTTCATTGTTAAATGGCTCACTCCATCTTTACCCGCAGGCAAAATGCATTCCCCCAAACCTCCGTCATCGCCTTTGCTCCAGGCGCTCCCTGCTCATCACTCGTCGTCGTCGTCGTCGTCACCCTGCACCTCCTCCTACTCGTCACCGCTTCCGCATCACATACCATGGGCGTCAAGCAAAAAACAAAGTGGGGCTCGTATCAGGGCACTGCTTCAAAACTGGTCATAGGCTTGGACATGGGCACGACTTACAGCGGTGCTGCCTACGCTTTCCTCCGAGCTGGAGAAGAACCAAAAGTGGTCAATGTATGCAAATTCCCCAGACAGCGACCGGGCGAAGGCTCCAAGGTGCCGTCAGGTGAGGTTGCGCTGCTCTCTCTCTTTCGGGCGGTCAGTGCAGTGCTTCATCGCTCACGCCACCTTCATTGCACTCTCATGCAGTCCTCTTGTACTCGCACGATGGGCATTGCCTCGCTGTGGGTAGCGAAGTGGCCGAAATGGAGGCGGTCAGCGCGGGTCCGACTGGCAGCAAGCTGCACAAGGCAGAGTGGTGGAAGCTTGCCCTCTGTCGAGATGACCACCCATCACGCATCAAGGTGCAAGGCGCTACCAAAGACTCGCCCTTTCGCTACGACAAGGTGCAGCAGATCCGTCTGCCGCCTGGCAAGAGCGCAAAAGATTGCTACGTCGACTTTATAAAGTGGATGATGCGCTGCGTCGAGTCGTACATTAGGGACAATATCGCCTCTGGTGAAGCGCTCCTCAAGGAAACTAGCGCTTCGCGTGTGATCGTCTGCGCCCATCCGAATGGCTGGGAAGGCTCGCAGCAAGAAGCTCTAAGGAGATGCTTTGTCGATGCTGCAGTCGTCGCTTCCGACAGAGCCAAGGCGCAAATTCGCATGGTGACGGAAGCCGAGTGCTCCTTGACCTATGCTCTCATGTCCCAGTCCATGGCCAGCTGGACAGAGGTGAGGCGTGTGTCGAGGTAGCGCACGCCATGTCGGCAGCGCAAAGTTGACACTCTCCCTTGCCCTTCTCTTTGCAGTGCGGATCGCAAATCGTCATTGCGGACTGTGGAGGTGGCACGGTGGATATCAGCGCATATGCCGTCCAAGCTGTGGAGCCGATTCTCTCCGTGCGAGAAGCTGCCATCTCTCAATGTGCGTATCTCGATTTAGTCCAGTACCCTGTGTAGCGCAACAACTCATCGTGACTCGACGCGCGACTCCAGGTCTTGTGGCCGGCGCAACTCTGGTCGACGAGCGTGTGGCCCAGCACGTCAGAGGTGAGCGAATGAAGATCTCCATCATGGTCACTGCGCCTGCTCACGTCGCGCTTCTTTCTCAGCGCGCCTTCAAGGCACAAAATACGGCGATCCTGAAGACGTTGCCAAGATCACGCAAGACATCATCAAGACGATGAAAGAGTCATTTACAAACGAGCGCACCCCCGTGTACGTTCGTGTTGGAGGTCCCATGGATGTGGATGAACCTCTGAGCGTCATCAAGGGCCAGCTCGTCATACCAGGACAGACCATCAGCGGATTTTATCAGCCTTCGATCGAAGCGACTGCTGCTGCGATCAGAGAATCGATCGCCTCTCTGCCCGCTTCGAGACACGCACGAGTGGCTCTTGTTGGCGGCTTTGCGGAATCGACCTTCTTTAGGGATCAGCTCAGAGCGCGATTGGGAGGCCAGGTGTCCGTCGCAAAGCCCGACAGCTCGGCGTGAGTGCTTAAGTACATCGCAGCTCAAGCGTCGCTCTTTCTGATGCATTTCATCGCGCGCAGCACCAAGGCCGTGGCGCATGGCGCCGTTGCGTGGGCCATCGAAGGCGCGGTCAAGTCCCGACGGTCAAAGATGGCTTACGGGGTGCGCGTATCGGTGCCTTTTGACAAGACCAATGCAGAGCATGCCGAGCGATCTGGGCGCATCTTCATAGGCGCCGACTCCCGGCCCAGACTTCCGCACGCTTTCCAAACGCTTCTCAGCAAGGTGAGTAGCAGATCAACACCGTCCTCATGCTTTACACCGTCCTCATGCCTTGCTCGTCCTGATGCCACCGTCGACGTGTCTATAGGAAGCAGAGCAAGGATCTGAAGAGGATGTGGAGTACACCTTTGGCCTCACCAAAGGCATCGACGAGCCCTTGACGGGTGCATTCGACTTGCTCTGCTACCGCGCAGACGGCACGCCTCCAGCCTTTATCGATGATGACGACGACCGTTTGTGAGTGCTACAGCGGCGGAGAAGTACGAATGACGGCCTGACATGATTCTGCGCATGTTTGCAGCGACACCCTCTGCAGGCTAGACGTCGATCTCGAGCGTATCAGCAAAGCTCTGGACGTGCAGACCACTGGCAACGGTCTCAAGTATCGCTCGGTCAAGTTTGTCGTCAAGCTCAGTCTTGGTACCACGGAGCTGCAAGCGCAATGGGTGCACAGCGGTATCTGCGAGGTCACTGGCGATGCCGCCGTCGTCTTTCTAGAGGATCTGGATCATTTCCGCAAGCCGGCCGAGCCAATGATTGCGGCACCAGAACAACAGGTCGACTCGGGCGCTCTGCTGTTGGATCTGCATCGCGAGCCGGCACAAAGTCGTCCCGTGCACGGGCCTGCGCTTGATACGGCTCGGCCAGTGCCGTGCCAGTATCCTCGGACAGATGCCGGTCCGAGGATGCCAAGCCCTGTGCCTTCGATTAGCGGCAGCAGCATCTCTCGCATAGCGCTGTCAGATGGGGCGTACTCTGCTCAAGAGGAGGAGATTCTCTCCCACAAAGCGCGCATCGCAGACCTCGAAAGTCAGTTGCGTTCCTTGAAGGCTGGCGATGCACCTCGACGCTCTAGACCCACAAGTTCGAGCGCTGCATTTTCGACACCACCCTTGTCGGCAGCATCGGATGGTTTCGCCGACATGCACGGCGCCGCATCGCCCTCGACTCTGCCGACTAGGCAGCAGCAGCAGCCTGCTCATCCATTCTTTGGAGCTCTTGCCGCACAGCAGCGTCGCTCGATCATTCAAACGGTGGACGCACCTCTTTCCCCTCCTTCAGATTGGGAACGTTCTCCACGTTCTGCGGATCGCAGTGTCACCAGAAACGCTCGTGGGAACGCATTCGAACGTCTCGATGTCGCACCAGAGCACCAGAGTGAACATCGGCACATGCGTACTAGACGTCACCATTTGCCCGCGGACGAGATCGATGACTGGCAACGTCGAGCACACAGAGTGGGGCCCAAAAGCCCTGGGTCAAGTCGTGGACCTCTTGCGTTTGATGCGCGGGAACAGCTCGAAGAGCTTTTGCGCAAGAACAGCTCGCTGGACTCGCGCTCCTGCTCGCGCACACCATCTCCTGTGGTCAGACCACAAGCGCGCCGCTCGCAGGGTATGCAAGGCGATTGGTCTGCACAAGCGGTGCTCACCGCGCCCGGATCCAGTGCCTCGGCCGAGCAAGGCGGGCACACGACAAGACTGCAAGCCAAGTATCCGGATCGCGCGCCGGGAACCTTTGTTGATGAGTTGGGCATCACGCGGACCAAGATTCCGCACGGATACGCTGCACCGGCCTGGAAAATCCATCAAACGCTGGAGCGACTCGAAATGCTGAGGTTCGGAGACGAGTTCATCTCGGCAAAAGAGGCGCGACGATGCGAGCAAGATCTCGAGACGCAGCTATACGTCGACGTGGCGCGTTGGAATCAACAACAAGCTCAGTCAATCGCCGCACACGCGGCGAGTGCTGGCACGCATGGGGACAGCGACGTGGATTATGGCCGGCTTCATCTTGCGCGGTATGCTCGAGAGCTAGAAGAGCAAGAGCGTGGCCAGCAAAAGCTGGAAAGATCCACACCAGATGCACCCCTGCGGCGAGAGTACAGCGGCGAGGACATGGCGCGTCCTCAGCGTCTCAGGTCAGAGCTTCGGCAGCAACAAGACTTGACCAGACTGGCAGGGCGCAAGCACGCTGAAAGCTCGGCGCAAGTTTGGACGGCTTCCGTCTCATCACCAACAGAGGGGCATTCGACAGCCTTGTACGACAGCGCTATAGATACCCCAGGCGAGTCAACGCGGCCCTTTCGCGGGCGCACGCACCCCCCACAAAGACAAGAGACTGCCCCTCCCCCATACCCCAACTTTTTCTCCCACACGCATGAAGCGTAGAGCCAAGAAGCGCTAGCGATGTAGACGTCGGCTCACGCTTAGGTTGGCGCATCCTGAAATTTAACACTTTTGCGGTATCGTGCATGTAGAAGCATGCTATGCAAGGCATGCAGCTTTGCTACGGAGGACGTAATGTCTGCCGTCAAACTCCAGTTCTGGCAACGATGCGGGTGCATCTCCTCTGATTCAAGCTTTTCTAGCGATGATGATCACACGGCAGATCACGCACGCGCCGGTGGATTCGCACTCCAAGGTTTGGCATCGAGATGATATTCAACAAGCATCGTGCGATAAGTAAGTTGACTTTGTCCCAGCTCTCGCAATGATCTGCGATTGCTGCATGCAATGCCCTAACCGCCCAGTCTGCGCTCACTCGCAATTGTAGTAAGCATCGCAGCACCATGTGGATCTTCGTGCCTTTTTACCTGACGGGCATTGAGGTGGTGCATTCGTTTCGGATTTCAAATCTTTGCCCGTGCAGTCGCAAGAAGCTTGCGGTCCTGGGCCCTGCTCCGGGGGAGTCGTGATGAGCCGCGCTTCAAGTGGTGAAGCTTGACGTTCTTCAAGAGACTGTGGCGGAGCTGACGGTGCAGCCTCGGGAACCTTGACAAGCCGCGCTTCGAGTGCGGCAGCTTGACCTTCTTGACGGGCCTGTTGCGCGACGGCACGTGCCTTGGGAGCTGGGCAGTGGGTGTAGACTTTGCAGCATATGATGCCCGATTGTGCCCTGCTGCCGTCGGCACATTTGGGAAGCTGATCTATCGGCGGCGTACTGATGGTCATGCCCTTGCACGAGCAGTCGCGGCTCATGAGGGGTCCGTAGGCATAAGAGGCATCGGTGTCCCCGAGAGGCATGCCGAGGGAAAAGGAGGCAAGCGCCGAAAAGGCAAAGAGGAACAAGAGGATGGGCTGCATTGTATGGGAGGGAGGTGGAGGGGAGGAAGAGAGATCCAAACCTGTAAGGGTAGAAGAGGCGCAGAGGTCAGGAGGCTTTTCCTAAGATTAGCGCACTCGATCCTCTCTCACCAGTGGATGTGTCAAGAAGCAAAGTGGAGGGTCGATGAGCGCTGATGGTGCAAGCTTTGGGGAAACCAGTTCCGTGAGGGAGAGGGGAGGAGACGAAGATGAGCTCGTAGCGGCCGCTACTTGTACCCTTTCGGCCCCGTCGATTGACGCGCTGCTTTGTAAGCTGACACGTCAGCGTCTGTGCGTCCACTGGTCTCGTCATGGTTTACGCATCGCATGTCCGACTTGCGCCTCTTGGCATCGATGGAGGCAGCTGCTCACATACTTTCACCCTTTCAATCTTCCTCGACGCCCCCATTCATGCACAAGAGCGCTGTAAGAAGACGCGCGGAGCAGGACGGCGCGCCCCGAGGCTTTATGCGCGCGCGGGTTGACGATCGGACATATGCGTACACCTGCATGCATGCATGCATGCGCCCTCGTATATTCACGATTGGCACAAGCGTGCGTGCGCCCTTTGCAGCGCGTCGTCTACAGCATCGGTCCAGCAATTGTTGCCACATTCGTGATCCTTGCTCCTACTCGGCACCCGCTCTGCTTGAAGCTAGCCGTGGCGTGTTGGCGTCTAGCTTCAATGAGACGCCCAGCTGGCGCGAGGATGTGTGAATTGAGTCACACAAGTTCTGAACGTCCAAAGGAAATTGGGAAGCCCAAGTCTGTAGTCGACAGTCGTGAATGGATGCACTTTTGTCGTCGTTGCAAGAGTCGAATCATCAGCACCAGGATCGGTCATCGCATCTCTGGTAGACATGTGCTGGTGTAGGCAAGGCGGAGCACGCAGGCTTGACTCGTCGCCAACACGTTGCCGCACAGCGCAATATGCTTTTGGGGCAAAGGAGAGGGGGAGATCAGGTGTCGTCCTGCACGGATCGTTCTGGGAAGCACATTCACGGTTGCCGGGCGCATCGCTGGTTATCAAAGACGTGCAAACGCGCGCGATCCTCCCTCCGAGCATGTGATGGGGCGTGCAAGAACGCGTTTCGAGAGCGTGTACTTCTGACTGGCAAAGTTCCTCGAAGGGGACTGGCGGCATGCCGTGCGGGCCACGACTCTCCATCCATCGTTGCGCACACGTAGCCCATGGCATGTGCCCGTCGCACAACACCTATACATATGCCCCGAGACTTTTACGGCGCAAAAGCGGATGCGCAGCCAAATCCCCCGCCAAAAAACGCGTCCGGAGGTCCGCAGATCCACGGACTTTCACTTTTACGCCGTAAAAGTACGCAGACAGATGCGTGCCATATGTGCCATACAGATGCGCGCCTGCCATACAGATGCGCGCCTGCCATACAGATGCGTGTGCCATACAGATGCCTGCGCCATACAGATGCGTGCGCCATACAGATGCGCACCACACAGACAATCTGCCATACACAGGCACGCGTGCCATACAGATGTGCAAGCCTATTGCAGCTCAAATGGCTGTCGTACCTACCTACGTGTACTGTACACCCCTACGGTACCTCAAACACCTGTCGTACTACATCAAAGCGCAGTGTTCACTGTACCCATCTACGGTCGCTCCCTACGCGTACCGTACACCCCTACGGTAGCTCAAACACTTGTTGTACTAGATCAAAGCGGAGTGTTCACTGTACGCACCTACGGTCACTCCCTACGCATACCGTACACCCCTATGGTAACTCAAACACTTGTTGTATCACATCAAAGCTCTGTGATCACTGTACCCATCTACGGTTGCTCCCTACGTGTACCGTACACCCCTACGGTAACTCACACCATCTGCCATACATCAGAGCTGATCACTGTACCCATCTACGGTCGCTCTCTACGCCTACCGTACACCCCTACAGTAGCTCAAATCAACCGTCGTACTACATCAATGCTCTGTAGTCACCGTACTCACTTACAGTTGATCCCTACGTGTACGGTACACTCCTACCGTAGCTCAAACACCCATTGTACTACATCAAAGCTCTGTGTTCACTGCACCCATCTACGGTAGCTCCCTATGCCTACCGTACACCCCT